GGGGGCGGCGCTGAGCTGGGAGGACGCGGGCGCTGCAGGCTCTGCGCCTCCGCGTTTTCGGAGCAGCCGGGAAAGGGGCGGTGGCGGCGGCCGAGAGCCGGCCTGAATTTGGGAGCGGAGGTGGAATCCCGGAGGGGCGGCTCCGCTGTTCTCCCCCGCCTTTTTCCCTTCCTCCCTTTCCTCCGCCCGGCTCTCCTCCCTCTCTCCTCCTCCTCTTCTTCCGCTCCTCGCGTTTTGCCTTCTCTTCTTCCTCCTCCCACGGTCTCTCTGGCTCATCTCGCTCCTCGCCCCTCGTTCCCTGCTTCCCGGGGTCGGAGTTCTATGCCAACCGAGTTCCGTCTGGTCCCAGACGGGGTCCCAGCCACCTCCGCTCCCACCCCCCACCTGACCCCAGGCTCTCGGCCCCGCGGGCCCCCACGCTCACCTTCCCTCCTCTGGCCTCATACACACAGCTGGTCGCCCCGACCACGTCTCCCCCACAAAGCTAAAACGCCCAACCCCTGATCTTCCCATTTTGTTTACGTGGCGGGAGAGGAGAAAGGTAGCAATCTTAAATAATTGAACGTTGCTTGACCCTTTCACCTGCTTTCGGTTGTTGACCTGTGTTTCACCTACTTATTGTATAGGCATCAAATTTGTATGTCAGGTATTATCGCCACTCAGGATGGTTAAAGGACGTGCCCTAGTTATTTATTCCGTTAGTCATTGGCTCCTACAGCGACAAAATTGTTTATCAGACTTTCTTGATTTTACAAGAGTCCAGAACCTTCATTTAGAAATAAGTTTGCATCCTAAACTAGTTACTACAGTGCTGTCAGGTGCAGAGTACAACCAGAACATTTGTAAGTTACAATTGCTAGTGAAAGGGCAGCTGGCATGGATACAGGACACAGCGCGGGGATTACCAACTAATGGTAGCATAGTGGCTAAGGCACTTGACTGCTCACCAAAATGCTGGTGGTTCAAACCCACCAGCCACTCCTCGGAAGGAAGATGGGGCAATCTACTTCCGTAGTGATACTGCCTTGGAAACCCAAGGAGGGGTCACTATGAGTCAGGTCTGACTTGACGGCACATAACAATAACAACAAGCTGAATACTTAGTGGTTCTGCCTCAAGGATGTGAAAATACCTGGGGGGACAGCCATCTCTTGGGGCCTCATTCCTGCTGTAGTTCACTGTCAGATTCACTAAATTCACAAAACAGCTTCAGAAACTGGAAACACCAGGTTTCTTTTAAGAGAGAAAACGTGTTGTTTAATCTCTCAAGAAATGAGAAACAAAAATTTTCTAAGATACATACTACTTTTAGAGCATATCACATAGACTCAACAGGTCTGCCCACTTCTAAGACTGTGACACTTGATGATAAATAAGAATTTCTTGTAGATTTTACGCAGTGTGAGCTAGTGACTGATCATTAGAAACACAGGCACTTTGCTGATGCATTTACTTCTCTTGAGCCAACCATTGTTAGTGCTTAAAGAGGCAGCTGTTGTGTGATATCCTATCTGGTCAGAAATTCCCCCCCTCGTAGAGGCCCTTTAGACTAAGGAAGCAAAACGTGAGGAGGCCAGGAAAGGAATGAAGAGCAGAGCAGGCCGGAAAAGTAGATCAAATTCTCCACAAAACACTCTAAACTTCTTAAGCCATGCTTGTTTATTGCTTAAGTCTCATCAAGTGCAGCACAGTACAAGGAGCCACACAATTCTTTCCTCGTGGCCATCTTTAGCTAAGAAGAAGGTCCTCACCCACCTTAGGCAGATAATTCTATTTCCCTGAAGCTTTGATGTAAGGATAGAAGAAAAATACAGGAAAGTTGGAGGATGGGGTTGCTGACGAAACTCTGAGCAAAGCAACAGGGAAGAAGAGCTAAGACCCAAATGGGCCCCACCATCTCCAGAGTAAAACCAAACCAAGCCAAACCCACTGCCGTGAGTCAATTCTGACTCATAGTGACCCTAGAGGACAGAGTAGAACTGCCTCTTGGGGTTTCCAAGGCTGTAAATGTTTATGCAAGCAGCCTGCCTCATCTTTCTCCTGCTGAGTGGCTGGTGGGTTCCAGCAGCCAACCTTTTGGTTAGCAACTGAATGCCTTAACCACTGTGCCACAACAGCTCCTCTCCAGTGTAAAGGAGTGGGATAGTCACTTTTAGCAGTCAGTAAGCCACTCTCAGAAGGAAGATGGAACAATCTACTTCCGTAGTGATACTGCCTCAGAAACCCAAGGAGAGGTCGCTATGAGTCAGGCCAACTTGACGGCACATAACAACAACAACAACAACAAGTCAGATGGAGACAATGTGTCTCTTTCTTTTCAGGTTATGGCTTTGCTTTCTTGCCTCAGTTTTTACTATTGTTCCTTGCAGGTAAAGGGAGAAATGGCCAAGTGAGGTCGATTGATTGATAGTGGGGTGGTCATGAGTGCATGAATGCCTACACTTTGGTCAGTTGAGGGGAGAGTGTTCCTGGAGCCAAATAGTGTCACACTGCAGCTGAGGAAAGGTTAAGTGCTCAGCTGCTAACCATAAGGTTGGTGGTTTGAACCCACACAGTAGCTCCATGGGGCAGGGCAGGGGGGAGACTGGCAATCTGCTCCCATAAAGATTACAGCCTAGAAAACTCTATGGGCAGTTCCACTCTGTCCCATAGGGTCACTATGAATGAAATTGACTTGACAGCAGCTAACAACAACAGCAAGGGGTGATGGGAACATGGGTCATGATTTGCCCTTGCAGCCTACCTGGGAAGTGCCCATTTGGACAATTACAATGGAGGGGATTAAGAAAAGGAGACCTCATGGGGCGGTGGCAGTCAATCTATCATGGGCATTAGGAATTTTTTAGAATCTGCTATTTCATGAAGAAATTGCAGGGAAGAACAAGGAATGGTAGACCAAATACACACTTTGTATTTATGCTGATGACCTTCTAGTTAGCAGCTGAACACTTAATCACTGCACCACCAGAATTCTCCTTTGTCTTTGAGCAACCAGCTCAAGACTCTTTAGAGAGGTATCACCTAGACCAGAGGGACCCAAAACCTAGAGGCTGGCATCAAAGTCAGGGCACTAAATTGATTATTCAAAACCAGATGGTTCACCTAAAACCAATAGTCTTTACGTTGTAACTTTAGAACTTGTTGCTATGTGCAGAACTCTGGTCTGTTTTCAAGTGAACAGCCCATTAGCAAATAGCGACCCCTCTTTGGGTTTCCGAGGCGGTATTACTATGGAAGTAGATTGCCCAACATTCCTTCTGAGGAGTTCCTTAAGTGTAGAAAAAGCTTGATTCTGAAATTTATAGTAACCAAGATGATTTAAAGACTTACCTTTTGTACTGCATACCATATTCCTTTCTCCGTCCCTCAAAGGTCATCAAAGTCCCATCCATAACTCCCAAGCAGACTTTTTAATCCCCCTTATTCTTCCCCTCAAACATCCAGTCTCCTCAACAACAGTCTCAGTAAGCCTTTCCAAAGCCCTCCCTCCAAAGACTCCCTCCTCTACCTGCATCCAGAGCAGTTTCTACTCCCTCCCTCCACTTCATTATATACTATATATCCCATTGCCATTGAATCTCTTCCGACACATAACGACGCTATAGGACAGAGTAGAATGGCCTCACAGGGTTTCCAAGACTAAATCTTTATGGAAGCAGACTACCACCTCCTTCTGTGGATTGCCTGCTGGGTTTATACTGATGACCTTCCAGCTAGCAGCCGAACATGTAATCACCGCACCACCAGGGTTTCTTATGTCTTTTACAAATATGGGTTATATTTACTTCCAACAAACCCTCCCTCTACTTCTCTTTTTGAGGTAAGGCCTTTTGTACTACTATTCTAATTTTGTACCACAAAACATCTAGGAACCAGTTTTAAACAGAGTAGATTGGGAGGAGAGTGGGCATCAGGGTAGCTGAGCAGGGAGTGGGAGCTAAGCAGAAAATTGCCACTTTCTCATTCATTCAACAACTATTATCTGAACTGCTGACAATGTGCCAAGCACTATGCTATGTCCTGGAAATAGACTGTAGGGTGGAAATCTTATATATTGAACAAAACAGACCTGTTGTTGGCTGCTGTTGACTTGATTCTGACTCGTTGCTACCCCACGTGTAGAGTAGAACCACTCCATAGAGTTTTGTTGGCTGTAATCTTAACGGAAGCAAATGCCCTGGCCTTTTCTTCTGTGGTTCTGCTGACTGAGTTCAAACCACTAACTTTGAGGTTAGCAGTCAAGCACAAACCATTTGTGCCACCTAGTGACCTAGCCCATGTCTCTGTGTAATTCACATTCTCTTTGGTATTTGGATTGGAAGAATGAAGTTTGTAAACTAGTAAAACTTAGCCCATTACCTACATTCACTTATACAATGTTATTGTTGTTGGGAGGTGCTGTCTAGTTGATTCTGACTCATAGTGACCCCACGTGTGACCGAACAAAACACTGCCTGGTCCTGCACCGTCCTCACAATCATTGCTGTTTGAGCCCATTGTTGCAGCGCTTCTTGTTCAGGGACTTCCTCTTTTTTGCTGACCCTCTTCTTTACTGAGCATAATGTCCTTCTCCAGGGACTGGTCCGTCCTGATAACA